ACAGAATACAGCTCATTTCACAATCTACAAAAATATGCAGACCTTGTCTTGCTTTTCTTCTACGTTCTGGAAATAACTCTTATATAATTATTCTGAATTCCAAAATCTAATTAACCCTTTTGAAGGCCGTGGTAAATATACTTACCACCACGTTTTACCACTTTTATTTTAGGTTTTCATTTTTCAATAACTTCAGCTTTCTTGAAGTGAGTTTGAATAAAATTGGTAACCATTTGTCACTTTTAAAATACGCATAATAGTTATAAAATACATAATTCCATTTGACGCTTGTAGCATTTAAGGAATTTATTTTATAAATAAAGAAAAATAAAAGTCAGTAAGTTCCTAANGGTAACCATTTGTCACTTTTAAAAAACGCATAAAAGTTATAAAATACATAATTCCTTTTGATGTTTGTAGCATTTAAGGAATTTATTTTATAAATAAAGAAAAATAAAAGTCAGTAAGTTCTTAATAGGTCATGCTAAATATATTTACCACCAAAAAAGTGGCATTTTTATAAACAAAATGAGTTTTTTTTTTAATATCAATTACTGTTCTTAAAACAATTTCAATTCCAAAAATACTTTAATTTACCTTTACTAGAAATAAAGGGCCCATTAAAGGGTTAAGCCAGTGTTAGAAAATTAACATAATTTTTGTATGCAATATATTCTCGTTTTATAGATATCACTCAATATTTGCCAAGAAAAAACCTAGAGAATTGTGGACAACATATCCACAATGGATTAAGAGAGAGAGCTTTAACTTTATGTTTGTCAAAATATAAAGTGGATGATTAAAAAACGCGTTGTTTAAAAGAAAAAAACTAGAAATTTTATTGGTTTATATTGTAAAAAAGAAGTGGGGCAATTTTTATCCCACCGCCCCTAAAAGGATTATTCAGTAACTTATACTTCATAAAAAAAAAAGCTAATGTTAATCCATCGTTTCCAAAGGGATCAAAAGTTAAATTTGGAAGGGAGTTTATCTTATTATCAGCCAAAAACCTATTTTTTCAGAACAAAAAAAAAATTATATATATATATATAATTTATATAGTTGACTCAATTTATTTGCCATTCAAAGAGATTAGTACTAGAACAGAAAAGAAAAAAAATTAAACATACTATCATATAAATTCAAACAATGCTTTATTCAGAATTTCCTTTTCATTTAACTAATTCGGAAAAAAATATTAAAAATAAAATTTCTATTTAGTGGTAAAAAAATTAGATCAACATTTATTTAAAACACATACTGCCTTTTAATTTGCTACATAAATTTGAATTTCCGAATCTTGTATGAAAGTAAAATGAATTAAAAAGATTTACATCAATCTACTGTACAGTTTTCTGAAAACCATTTAAATTTAACGGGAAATGTTCAATATTGAAAAATCATCTGCTAAAACTTGTTTAAAATAAATCCTAAATATTTTTGTTAATATATCAAATATTTTCTTCGTGTACATTTTAACCCGGGTTTTTAAAGATGATTTCTAAAAACTAGAAAACAAGTTAATTTATTTCTAACTAAACGATCCTTTTAATTAACTATTTGCTTTTAACGTAATTTAGTCAGCAGACATAATACTCATGGAGATTTGTTTGGCCACATAATAGTACAACTATAATACAGGGTGTTTATAAAGTCCCGGACCCATTTTGATGTTTAATAACTCATAAAATAATAAAGATAGATTAAAATTAATAGCATAAATGGTTAGATAGATTCAAAGAGTTCCATGACCCTTGTCAATGAACTTCCATGTGTGCCCTCTTCGTCGCACGGAGAATATCAAGTCTATAGTCAATTTCACGCCAGGTAGCGGCAAGCATGTCGGCATGCACAGAGGCTATTGCGGTTGAAATTCTGGCTTTTAGGTCATCAATGTTCGACACGATCCTCCTGTAAACATTGTCCTTTATAAATCCCCAAAGAAAAAAGTCCAGCGGCGTTATATCAGGTGATTTGGGTGGCCAAGGAATTGGACCTCCTCGCCCAATCCATCTTCCTGGAAAATGGTTCCGGACGGTCTCATCAGTCATATCATCAGTCAAGGTCTCATCAGTCTAGAGCTTCAGCCACATGTCTTTTTGCAACAAGATGGTGCACCACCTCATTGGGGTATCATCGTTCGTAGTTCTTTGAATGACCATTTTACATTTTTTCAATCAAAAACATAAAAAAATGGCAGAAAAACTTTATTTTTCTTATCTAAAAAATTCTTCTTTGTTTAATCAACACAAAAATCGGCAATAATATTCAATTTAGAACATTGTAAATAAAAATCATTCCAGTTTATTTTTTGCAAACTGATCAAAAAGCTGTTTCACTCAATTAAAACTATTTTAATTTAACTGATTCGTAATACACAATCTCAAACAGACACAAGTTATATCAATTTTCACCAGGGTTTGGAAAACTTATAACAAACAAAATATTACCAATACCTCAACAAATTTTCATCAACTTTAAAAGTTTTATTTTACTAACGTTCACCATGCAAATCTTTGGTGAAGCGACAAATTTCAAGTCTGAAGTCCAAATCTTGCAACACTCACTAGCAAAACATCACTCTCAATGGTAGCCAATGCCGGTTGTTATACTTCCTAGTAGTTCTGCTACACATGACACAGTGGCCACGAACACGTAATCTTCGATATAACTCCATAAAAAATATCACAGGGCGCTAAATCGGGAGAGGAAACTAAACCCTCAGAGGGAATTATGACACACTCAAATGTAAACATTAATATTGTCAAACCTTTAGTTAAAATGTTCTAAATTTCCTCAATTTTTAAAACAGAGCTGAAAGAAATATATTCTAACTCTTTTATAATGATTATATAGAAACTGAGTAAATCAATTTGATGGCAGACGCTTAAAAACAGAGTCTGCCAAACTAGAGTCTGTCAAAAATAAACACAATGAGTTACATCAACAACAACAAAAAAATTTCTGATTTCTTATTTTCAATTGGAATTAAGTTTTTTTTTCCCCTTTGTAATTGAATCTCACCAATTATTTGATGTGCAGCATGCAAGGCAGGGAAAACATTATCACAAGCACTAATTGTAGAAAAGAATGCAGTTTCTGAGCTAACTTCATGTTTACAGATTGTAGAGTGTGCAGTGATTATATGTATGCCAATTCTGTGTTTTACACATTTTGTCAGAAACATTCACACAGGCAAAAGAGTAACAGGTACATAATATATTCAAAGGTTTGCATAGCACCATTATCTACAATAATTATAATTATATAACTAATGGCAAGATATAGAATCCCTGTGTCAGAATTTTTTTGGCTTTTCTGCAACGAACTTCCCTAGCACTAATATATTTCGCGTTAAGATACTTTTAATTATAACAATTACTAATTGAAAGTGACAGAAACGTTGTGTTTACAAAAGAAAGTAGAAAATAAAAATGTATAAAAAAGTTTAATTGCAAAAGTAATATATTCTCACATTTTGTAGGCGAAAAAATGCACTAAATATTTTTTCCCCCGACTTTTGTAAATATTACACAAATTAAAATTCGTAAATAAATTAAACGATAATAAATTAAAATTCGTACATAAATTAAATATCGAAACATCCGTGCAGTAACTCCCAAAATAAAAATCACGAATTACGCGAATAGGACTCGGATACTCAAATAAGTGTATGTAAAATATGGTGTTCTTTAAAGAAAAAAAAATGAAAGAAAAAATATCACTTCTAGAGTGATGTATCTTTTAAACTTTCTCAATTTCTGAATTTTTTATTCAATATTATTAATTTGAAATTCTAACTGAAGCCAGTCATAACAGATTTTTTTTTAAAAAATCTCAAATGAGAATAGAAAAATCACAATTATTTCTTTCCTCTCTGATGAGCAAGAAAGACATCTTTGAAAAAAAATCTGCTGAAACAAAAACTTTTTTCGAAAAATTTTGCAGAAAGGAAAATCAAAATTTTCCCCTTCCCAATTGTAAAATCTTTCTGCAAAAACTCGGTAACGTTCAGCGACAATGTCGCAGCAATTCTGCCACATCCAATGAACTTTAGGTTGTTTTGTTACATACAATTTTTATATAAATTAACATAAGTATTCCTCTTGAAACATTGTGAAAAGAATACTTTTTTTAACAACTTTAATAAAATAATTTTAAAGGAATTGAGAAGAAAAAAATCTAATAATGGTAATGCACGAAAACTCAGGTTTATATTAGTGTTTTAACTTGAAAGCTGTTTTTCAAAGGCTCAAATGAAACTTTTTTAAAGCTAACAATATTCAATGCTAATTTTATAACTTTTACAAGTTCATAAATCAATTAGACTGTTAGGTTTTACTTGCATTTAGCAAATGCTTTGTACAATACGAAAATGATGCAAAATAAATGTTAATTAGGGGGGGGGGACAATTTAGCAAAAATGAAAACAAAAAAATTTTTTAATCTGTTATAATGTTTGAAAACTTACTCTAATGCTGCATTGTCTTGGCTCATAAAAATATGCAAAAATTGAAAAATTATTCATTTATTTTCAACAATAATCATCTGGGTGGAAAAATTTTTCCTAACTGATGATTTTTTTAAAAAAGGTTTAAATTTTTTTTAAATATTCAAACAATCTCTCTGTTATAAAGCCCAGGTAAGCAAGACGCTTACAGCTTTACAGCAAGATGGCATACCTGATTTAAAATTATTGTTATGCTTCAAGTTTACGACACTTAAACCATGGTTTTTTTATTTTCCTCAGAGAAAGAGCTTTGAGAAATACCCTTAAACCAAACATTTATCCAAAATAATATTCCAAACATTTCTTTGTTAAACTAAATATCTCATTACATCAAGTCTCTTAATAAACAAGTTTGTCAGTAGATTCTTTTTGCGTCAATTGCTACCTAAATTCTCTTAAACTGTTTCATTTCTCTCACTGGGTCAAGAATTAATTCAAATTTGTTATTGGGAAAGAGACAAAATCAAAATAAAACAAACAACAAACACAATTTTCTCAAACAGAGGTTCTTTATTTCCTTCTTAAACATACAAAAAAGCACCTTGCTCGATCACACACGATCATTTCAAAATACTCAGTATTTGTTTAAAGTAACTTTACTTCTTCAGCAAAACAATAATCTGAGAACAAACATTTCAAAATCACTCATCTCAGTGATGGTAAAAAACAAGTATAATACCCATGGACTATGATGACAACATAAAATACCCAATAAAATGATAAATCAAAAACTCTGGTTCTTTCAGCTTCTTCAACAAAACTTCTCATACATATCTCACACTTTTAAACATTTTGTACGATCTTTCAATATTAAACTTAGTATTTGCTGCAACTAATTTGATTAGTCTGATCTTTGAGGACTACGTTCAACAATCTTGAGAAATAGATCGCTTTTGATGAACTTTATTTGAAGTATAAAAAATAGACCATATCTGCAAAAGTTCATAATTTGAAGACTTAACAAAAATTTTTTAAAAATAAAATAAAATTAAAAAAAAAAAAACACTTAAGGGCACTTCATTGAGTTTTGCAACACGAATATAATGGACCAGCAAAACAAAAACATTTTTCTGAAATAAGGGGAGAACATTTACTACTACTCTTTGCATAGATTCATCTGAACTGTTAGTTGAGCCCTGACCCTAATTTAATGTCTAAATTTAGAGGAGGAAGAAAATAGTGGACTGGTAGACTTAACTTGGTTTCAAGCTCTTTTGGGATTGGTTGTCACGGCGACGTTGGTACAGAGACGAATCACTAAGAGGTGAAAGACTAAAGCCAACAGCAGATGAGCTGGACAAAGATGACATAGAAGAATGTTCTTCTTGCACACCAGCAGAAGGTAACGAAGCCCCCGAATGCAATCGTTGATACGCATTGGCATTTTCAGCAAATGTCGCCAAATCTCTGGCAGAATTATTTCTATAAGGAATTAGAAAAAAGATTAATTAGTTCATTTAAAGATAAACACTTGTCAAAAAATAGGAACAATATAATGTTAACTGTAGCTTATTTTGAATTTTATTGTTACATCAGTATTTATACAAAATGCTTCATGAAAAAAATTAACGGAATAATAACTTTTTTCATCGAATTCCTGGACATAAGATTATCTTAGACAATTAATTTCTGAAATAAACTATTGCCTTAGGAACATTACCTGATTTAGACTGTCCTCAGTTTCATGTGTAAATAAAACAAACCTCAGTTCATAAAACTGGCACTTAGTTGAAAAATTCAAAATTTTTGTTAAAACATAAGAAAATTTTACTTTCATCTATTTTCTGTTAAGATAATAATGCTGTTTAGTTTTGATAATTACTTTTAGGTACGCATCAAAAAAACTAAATTGCTTTTTCTAAAACTCTTCCACACAGTAAAATAAAGCTTATCTACTGTTACTATTTGTAAGAGATATCATCAAGAAATTGTCCTATTGAAAAAAAAAAAATTTTTTTTTTGTTTTCATTAAAAAACATCTAAATACTTAAAAAAATTAAAAATTTTGTGTTCTTTGTTCTTAAGTTCAGAAAAAAAAATCATTTTTTAAGGTTATAATAGAAAACTTAAGCATTAATCTTTGTTACTTCTTGTGACCCAGACAAAATGAGTAATTTACGCAAAATATTTTACATTGAATTAAACTTAATTGTTGTCAAAGCATAATGTTATGTTCTGTGTTATACACAAATCTTTTAAGAAGTGCCCTGCCTATTGCCTTTGGGAAAAAAAAGGGAACATGCAACAATTAAATTACTTTGTAATAAAAAGGTTAAATGGAAATAAACAAATCAAGTATTAGAAAAATCCCATGTTGTGTATGGGGCAATCAGAAAAGTGAATGTGCCTTGTTTTATGTACTTACATTTTTTACAAAGGAGCAGCTTTGTAATTCTTTTATTCTTTTTTAATACAATATTAATTGACTTGCATGTGTCTTGCATAGAACAAACAGTGCAATAACATAATAAATGTTTCAAAAATAATTTAAAGTTAAATAAGCAACTGGAAAATGTCTTTATTTTAAGCATTAGTAAATTAGCTGGGATTTTAATGAAAAATGTTAGTAATTATTTTAATTAATTTTTTAATAAAATCAATTTAATTAACTATTTATATTATATGGTAAAAATCATTAAGTGCTAATAATATACATTTTAATCTAAATTGAATTCAAACTTCAGCACTTATTAATTAATTGCATGTTTTCATGAGAGAAAAGATAGTACACCGATCTATCACATAATTACACTTCTTAAGTCAACATAACTTACATCTTTTAACAATTTACTTATGAACATAACAATATTAAACTATATTGATTCAACTATTAATACCTTCTAAGAATTTTTATTAGAAAATATTATCTATCACTTCCAATTTTAGAGAAAATTGACATTTGTGCAAACGGTTTTGTTTAAATTTAAAAAAAAAATTTTAAAATGCCAATTTTTCACTAATAAGCATTTTCTGAGAATTCTTTGGTCCAATAAAATCCTTTTAATCATGGATCTTTTCTCTCTTGTACTGCTTTTAAACACAATTACTTAGATATGTATTTATTAATTTGGGTTTGAGGAGAATTTAATTTTTTTAAATCTTACTTGGCAATGCTGCTTTTATGTTCTCTATTTTTTAAATTTTAATCAAAATTGGCAAATTAACCATGAAATTGGTATTTAGATAGGCAAGGGCAGATCCTACATGTGGTTGGTCAAATTTAAGAGAAAAACCAACAAGGAGATTTAAAATAAAGTATGTTAATGTCGAAAATAGAATGTTTGCTTACATATCTTAAAGTAATATTTAGAAATAAGCTTAACCACACAAAGTTGAGACTTAAACCTTCCATCACTACCACTATATACTTTGAATTCACATGCAATGAAGTGGCTATTTTTAAAATTTTTCATTTAGGAATAAATACAATATCAATAAAAATTCTATTTTACAAGTTTCACAGATAAAGTAACTGTTTACCTTCGAATCACTGATGGTGTGCCCAATAAGGTAAATGAGCCACCGTTGGCCACCCATGGATGGTGTAAAACCATTTCAGCTGAATACCTTTGGCTTGCATCTTTTACCAACAAATGACTTATCAGATCTTTAGCTTCATCAGATATAAAACTCCACTCTCTCTCAGGAAATTCATAGACACCCTCTTGTATACAATCAAACAGCATATTCTGCAACGAAAGAATGTTTAACGGATCTACATATCAAATTATGTATCATAAAATCAAATTTTCTACAATCTACATATTGTATTAGGCCATGGGCAAAATGTCTCTGTGTATATCAAACATAAACTGCTTGTTTGTTTGCTTCCATCCCAATTAGACGAAATCCATAAGTCCAAAAATGTTCAGAAAGTCTAAAAACAGATGAGGTTTCGAAAAAACCTCATTGATCTTAAAATCGATACAGTTTAGAATATGCTCGGGTGAAACCTGAGCAGTCCTGCATTTAGTGCAAAGTCCAAAAGCCTTTCTCCCCCGAGCATACAAGAGGCACCTCAAGTGACCACTTGCAAAGCGAGAGAAACAAGTCTGCTGGCTTCTAGGTCCCTCAAAAAGCAAGGCATCTCCAGGATGTTTTCCGGAATAACAACTATGCGGAGGAGGAACTCTCCAGAGGTTCATAAACATTTTTTTGCACTCTGCAAAGACCTCATTGAAAGTGGAAGATATATCTGGCTGTAAAGGTTCCAAAGAAGCATCTTTAGCCAGTTTTTTTACACTGAGTACTTCAACCTTGAAGTACTCAGTGTAAAAAAAAAATTTTTTTTGCATCAGAATGAAAGTGATCAGAGGCAATTTTATTTCTCAAATGAATATATTCAAACACTCTTGCATCAATAAATCCAGCTTCAAGTTAAAGGTTGATAAATTTCTAATAAATTTTGAATTTATTAGAAATTAGTTTGAAAATTATCAACTTGTATTTATGATGCACCATCTTGAATGCAATAGGTTGGAAGGATGGCTGTGTATGTTGAAGTATATATGCCTGGCAATTAGGAATGTATTTAGTAGTGAAATGAACTCTGATCAATCTTTTTGTATTTACATTTAAGTAAATTCCCAAATGTGTTTTTCTTAACCCTTTGATGTAAAATTTTTATCAATCATATTTTTCATACTTTTTAAATTATTTTGTATTAGTTAGATCAACATAAGTGAAATATTATATTTAGAAATTAATTACTTTTTTTAAATTGAAATTCAGCATAAGATACCAGCGTCTTTTTACATTAAAGGTAAAATTTTTCAAACAAAACCCACTTCCAAACAATATTTTTTTCAAATTTGCACTTATTTAGATCTAAGAGAAATAGTTATTCATCATTAAAATTTCTTTAATTTACATATTAAATGAATGGTAAATTTTTGAATATCATTAAAAAAGAAATTTTTGAAGCTACTTTTTTGGGATTTTATATTATAGTACATACATAATTCTGATATTCTAATAGATTTTATTTAGTAACTATTAAACTGTTTTTTATAATTAAAAAATACAAAAATAAATTTTTGCTTGTAATTAGAGTGTTAGAAAAAAATATATAAAAGGATGCATCAAAGAGTTAATAGTGCAAGGTCCGGCCAATTATAATTGTGCATGTATATATCGAGAAAAAGATATTATAAATTAATCAAAATAGATCATAGCTAATCAATAATTATCACAAGAAAATATTTAAAAGGAAAAAAAAAGGAATTTCATTCTTGGGTCACAAATATTCCGCATAAGATACTTTAAATCCAATCACACAGATTGGAAGAAATATCACTTTAACAATAGATTTCTGTTTTGTAAACTATAATTACAATGTTTTCTTGTTGCACATCTAAAAAGTGTTTCTTATAGTGCTCTCTAACAGCAAATTACAAATCCATACTAATCACAGTAGCATTTATCATTGATGTATTACATATATATACATAAATGTAAAAACAATGAATCGAATATTTAAAATGTATAATGCTTCCGAGAAGAAAGAAACATACAATGGTTAAAATATTTGTACAAATTAAAACAACATTAGTTTAAAATTAAATAGAAATTACTCATTCAACTATTATTTAGATGAAATGACTTACTTGGCAAGTTTCACACGCTTTTCCTCTTTCCCATCCACAATCACCACCACAGCAACCATAGAATGGAGGATAACCACACAGCAATATGTACCTATCAAACACATTTTTGTTTCATATTAATTATAGTTACAAATATTACATATAATAAAATGTTTCTACAATGCAGAACAAAAAAAACTAGCGACACATGGTGCTCAACTTATCTCTTTAAACAAATTTAAAAACTGGTAAACTTTATCATGTTAGTTTTTTTTTTTAAAAAAAAAAGAAAAGAAATAAATACAAATTGGAATTTTCAACAAAATTGCTGAACATTAAAAAAGTTTTTTAAAAAATCAGAAAAACACTTTCTTCTAGAGAACAATTTTTTAAATGTTTGCCATTTTGGAATTATTTTTAACATTACCAATTTCATACTTTTGCCTCAGTGGTGCATTAATTCTAGCCAAAGTTATACTATTATTTTTTTTCCCGAAGTTTATTCCAAGTTTCGTTTTTCTTTAACAAATCTGCATAAAAAAAGGTCTTTATTACGTGTGAATGAGAGAAAAAAGGTGCTGGTAAGGGTCCGAGAAAATTTTGCTCGAATATAAATTACTGATTCGCAGATATCTTCGAATCAACAATCTTGCGATTCTCGAAATTCCGCTAATTAGGGGAAGAATCACAAGCCCGTACAAAATTTTTATATTAGTGAGAAAAGAGTTTTATTAAAATAGCATATATACTAACATAATAACACCAAGACTCCACAAATCACAACGCTTGTCATATCGTGTAGCCTCTCCTACGAATCCACATACCACTTCTGGTGCCATGAATTCTGCAGAGCCAACCTATAGAACATAGGTTAAGCCAAGGTTTAGGCATAGATATGTATAAATATAAACATGTAAAGAATCAATTAGTCATCCTAAGTTGCTACATGAGAAATGTTTTCCAAGAAATAAATACAAACAATGCATATAATAATTAGAAAGAAAACTTACTCAATGCACTGGCATTGATGAAAAATATTTTCAGGTTATTATTATTTTTCAGTATCAAAATAAAGAAAATAAACATGTTTAGTAAATAAAAGGAAGAAGCAAAGAAAAATAACAAAAAAATATTTACAGAAATTTGAAGATTGTCATGATTTAAAAAAGAAACTAAGTGGAATTTAAAATTTTTGTAATTTTTTTTTTAATAATACAAACTCATTAAATTTATGTTTTGTTCTTCAAAAACTAATAGGTAAAATTTTGTATTACAACCAGCGAAGAATTTTGAGATATATCTAATTTTCAAATATCTAGTTAAAAGAGAAAAAAAAGAATTATTTTTAGATTTTCTGAAAAATGCACTGTTTGCTTAATAAACAGCTAACTTGTTAATATTAACTAACATTATATGCATTACAATTCAAAATCTAATATTTTGTTTAATGAATAAAAAATTGCTAGAACATGCTTTCAATCCCACAATTAACACGATTTTTAACTCTACATATCACTGATAAGACGTTCAAAAAGTTTTTTTGCTAGGTCTAGCAAAATTTAAAATATTTATCCTTGCAAACCTTTTTTAAAATATAAAGTATGTTCTTTCCTTTTTATCTCTAGAAAAGCTATTGAAAAATATGCTCTAGAAAGAATCAAACCCCAATCGCTCTAGGCATAATGATGATTAATTATTATAATAGGAAATTTTCCAGATCAATGTAACAAAGCATGAAATTATTAGAATTTCGTTAATGAGCTCTTTAAATACTATTGCATCAGTACACTGATGTAGGTTTAATGTTGATGTAGTTAACCCCTTTCCAATTTCTCAACAAAAATATACAAATTGCAAATGTCTACCCTTTTTTTTTATCAAATTGCAGTTTTCTCACCTAAATTCATTTCTAAATTACAAATGCTCATATTACCCTCTCCTCTCAGGTGCTTAATATTTCCATGACACTTTAACTGTTCAAAAACATTAAATTAAACAAGATTCAAAGTAATAAGAATATAAATAGATAGAACATGGGCGTCTGGTCATTAATTTATGTCTAAGTTTCAAGTTCTTTTAACAAATTTTAATTGATTCTTTCAAGCGAAAACTGTGTCCTATTCCTCTAAGTCAAGAGTATTTCAAAATAATATGTCAACTACATCTGAATGTAATAAAGACAACGATCAATGATATTTTAAGCTGACGTTAAAAAGAAAAGCAAATATTATAGAATTGAGATTTGACATCATTTCTATAAATTAAAAAGAAAAAATTTATTAACAAACTATCAAAATAAATTTTTTTTCATTGTTAATTAAAGCAAAAATTAATATTAGATGCTTAAAAAGAGTTATGGTTAGGTAAATTTATTATTAAATTTCAAAAAATAAGGTATATTATTCGAATGATTCCAGAGTACATTTATGCGTATAAACAAAAGTTTCTTACTGGACTGACTAGCTCAGGAGTTAGACAGGGAGTAGAAGCTTGATAAGCTACACCACTTCCCAAATCAAAATCACAGAGTTTCACGGGGCAAACCTAAAAAAAAAAATACAAGCAATGAACAATATATCCATAATAACCATTAGAATGGTAACAGGTATAAAATTAGTTTTGATTCTGAGACTAGTTTGAGAAACATGATTTTGAGATTTAAATTTAACATCATATAAAATGTTAAAGAAAATTTACTATATAAATAGCAACTTCAAAACATAACTATTTATTTCTTTTACTATGAAACATATTTATCAAACATTTACTCAACACAGAAACATTATAATTTAAATCTTATTGTGATATTGTGAGAAGTTCTGTCCTGCCTCACATACTCATATTTAGTACATAATTCTGACCAAGAGATACCATCACGGACATCACCAGTAGTGTGACATGAGATAGAGAGATCATTGGACAACTTCAGAGTTGTAAGACCCAAGTTTTCCTGAAGAAGCAAACCCTCAAAAAGGACTTTTTTGTGGGGATTACAAGCTTCATAAAAAAAAAAAAATTGCATCGTAAAATTAATTTAGAATAAGATTTTTTTATTAAATTTTGTTTTACAAAGAACCAAATTTTGCCTAATTTCAATGTTTTTCAAGATGATCAAGAAAAGTTTTTAAATCTTATCTTTATTTTTAGTAGTCTGTATTTTCTTACACCTAAATTGTTTATGAGATACACCTTTTTAAGTAATTAGCTTCATTTTTTTTATTTCTATAAGCAACAATTTAGTTAATACAATTGCTTGATGCATGTTTATATAAGTTTCAATAATTTTTGATATTTAAGGTAATTTAATGATCAGAAAAGAAAATATTTAAAAGTTTTAACTGATAGTAGTATTACCAGATGCTTGTTTACTAAATTGAATATTCTGTTGTACTAGCAAACATAATAATAGCAAATGTGCTTAGTTATAATAAAAAAGTAAAATTATCTAGTTCAAGATTGAATAAAAAGTACCTGATCTCTATTGACACAGAGAATATTTTCTGGTTTGATATCCCGATGAGCAATACCTGAAATAAAAATATTAAATCAAAACGGTTTCAATGAAGAAAATGAAAGCCGTATTAAACAATGATAATGCCTCAAAATCCAAATAAGGGTCTTCATATTTGAGAGCCATTTGCAGTCTGCCTAAAAAGTATTTTTTTTAAGAAATTCTAGAAACTTTAAATGATTTTTCCTTGTGTCATACTTATAAACAAACAGTTTATACTACGGGGAGTACAATGTTTTTAAAGTCCTAATAAAGAAAAAATAGTATTTTAAGGAAATGAAGGGATATAGAAAATACAGCTATCCAAAATTTCAACACTAATATTACCCGAATTACATTCCAATGACAATGCTTTCCAATCTCCTGTATTTTACATTTGTGTAAAATAAGCAAAATTACTTTCTAATACGATTATAATAAATAAAAAGCAAATTCTTAATCTTTTAATTAATAAAACACAACTGTCCAGAAATTAATGTCCTGTCCATTACCATATACATATTTAAATTTTTACAAATACACAGTTGGAATTCTTTAATGATAACATTTGTATACCAGTGAAAAATATGTTAATAAGAGGTAGTAAAAGTCATTTAGAATGTTTTTTATTTTTTGAGGGGCAGAAGCCTTTTTGTAGTTAGTCTTTTGACTATGCCATGTCTTTTACCTTTAATTGTACAAAACAAAATTTATTTTTCAGTTCTGCAAGATAATTTAGTTTAGTGAGATTTTATTCTCAATAGAACAGCGTTTTCACTACAGAGCGAGAACGCAAGAATCTCGCATTAAAAAATGATTACCGAGCGAAATTCGTGCACTCTATTAATAAATTTCAAAATATGCGAATCTCGTCCTTTTCAGAAAAAGTCTCGTCTTGCACCATTTTGAATAAAATCCGTTTCACTTTTCTACCTTGATCTTTCATTATTTTCAACATCGGTCCCTGTATCTAGCTGCTTCCTGATTTACCAGTACTGTTCAGAACCAGTGCGAATAGCGGAACACCATCCCTCGAACGAAGGAACCCCTTTTAGAACACATTTATCAGCAACCACATGTTCACTGCAGGTAAGGTTTCTTCATGTAAGACGTTAAAATTTTTTGTGACAAATGAAAATTAAACCTTTACAATAAGTTGTTTCAAGTCAGCTCTATTTTTAGCTATTAATGAATTACCATACTACCTCTTTGGTAATTTACAGCAATTTATAAAAGTTGAAGGCTGTGACATCTATGCTGGAAAACCTAACATAAAGTATGAACACGGAAATATCGAAAACGAACTTCACTATTCTATAGCAGAAGTAATTGAAAACCGTATGCTGGCAGATGTAGAGGATGGGAAAGCGTGTGCACATGCTGTAAATTTACTTAGTGATTCCGAATAGTTCAGCATCTGTCTTTTAGCACCCAAAACCGAATTAAGACAAAATATCGTAACAGATTGACGGATAAGCATTTGAGCAACATAATGAGAATAAGTGATGAAAAAGTAGACATAGAACATTTTCCATATGATGATACAATAAAATATTCTAATTTAAAAAATAGAAGATGTTAAATATTATAATTAAAGAAATAATTCTTTTCCGAGTCTATTTGTGTTTTTCTCATTTTTAGAAATCTTGCTTAACTTTTTGAAATCTCACCCTGTTTTTGAGAAAAGGTGAAAAATTCTCTTTTTTTTTCTGTAATGAAAACACTGTAGAATATTAAATATTTGATAGAATTATTTAGCCAAAAGAATTTTTTTTAAATATCTGTTACCGGTCATGTTTGATATCATATTTATGAACAGACATGACATATGTGGTAACAGGCATGACTGGTTACAAGATTGAAATTTTGAAGCGATTGTCTCTTTTCAAAACAAATTTTAAACAGAATATGGAATTCAGGTTCTTAATTGCTAATAAAAATTCTCCGTACCTGAATTTTATAATCTATTTTGACATCATTTGCAATTATTGTAGTGTTATTTTTTATATACTCATTTTAATGTTTCCTAATCAATTTTAAAAACGCATAAGTTTTTAGTGAATCATATTCTAAGAACATTCAAAATGTTTGAAATGCATTGTATCTTTATGAAATAACATAATTATATGTGTTAAATGCTATTAAGCTCTGCTTCCTTCCTCAAATTTAAGCAAAGTCATTAAGTCAAATAGGAATTTGCGACCAAATTTTTTGAGCAAAAAAGATGTTTAGCAGAGCAACAGTAGGTAGAAAAAGAGACTATTACACTTAACAAAATGAAAAGGCAAAATAGATATCGTTTAGACAATTTTAAAAAATCTTTATAAAATATTAGAAAAGAAAAATGTTTCTCTAAAGTTTTCATACAGTGCATTTACCATAATAAGTAAAGAAAATTAGCAGAGTTAGAAGAATTAGCAATTAACTTTTTTTTAAATACTAACAGTACTAATTGTAAAAATAAATCATTATCTACCAAACTTGCATAATCGAATACATCCGTAAATTTTAAAACGAAGATGTCAGTTGATTTGATTTTCACTAAATTTCATCATTAAAAGAAAGTCATTTATAAATTCAAACTCTCAAAAATCATGAAAATGGTATATTTCAAGAAGACTTGGATGAACACCTACCTACTAGATACAATCCTCTGTTATGGGTTTTTTTGTTTTTTTTTTTTGAAATTTTTTTTAAAACAGTTAATGAAAATAAAAAAAATTTTCAACCCAAGTACTAAAAAAGAACTATTTAAAAAATTTCAAAAAAAATTCGGACAAAGTGTAACAAATGGTAGTTAAAGTAAATACTACCTATTAATTTATAATTTATAAATAAAAAAAAAAAACAGAAATAGTAAAGTTTAACAAACCTTTTCCATGCAAGAACATTAAAGCATTAGCCAAGTCCTTTATAACCATGCTTGCTTCATGTTCGGTAAAATGAATCCTCCTTTGAATATGGGCAAGCAGGGGACCTATTAATTAAATATGGTACATTAGAAAAGGATACAGGCAGGAAAAATATATAAACTCAAAATAAGAGGAGACTTACCTCCATAACATTTTTCAAAAATCAACAGAAACCTATAAGAATAAACAAATAGTTTGAATGTTAAAAATTTAGTTAAGTAAAAAACACGCATAAATTTTTTTTTGTTTCTTTGTTTTTGTTTATTTATGTCTCAACTTAATGTACAATAAATATTTAATTCACATAGCCAGCTGAAAGGTTTAGGAAAAATTGATAAAAAGAGTTTTCATAATTAATTATATACATTCATTTTATATATTTATACAACAAATAACAAAAGATTTCCTTAAAGAGTAAAGACAGTTAAGTTTCGGATGAAAAATTTCAATTGCAATTTTTAAAATTTTTATTAAAAATTATGACTTTGGATTAATTTAGCAAAAGATCACTCTTTTAAAAATTTTGTAATTAAAAACATTTACAATTACAATAAATTCAAAACTGCAGACAAGGACTTAACATTAGGGAGTAAATCAAGGCATTAACTCTTAAAAAATTCTGTTTACTTCCTAAAAGTTTATTTTGTTTTATATAATTTTAAAATAGTACAATTACAAACAGTTTTAATTCTAAATCTTAATAAAAAATTTATTGAAAAAGTCAAAGCAGATATCAGAAAATTAAAAAAAAATACAATTTTAAAAAAACTATTTGCATTTATTTACTCCATTGCAGTTTTTTCAATGAAAAATTTAAATTAAAGGACAAGAAAACATAATTTCAAAGAATCTACATAATTGGGAATAAAAATGTATAATACAAAATAACAAAGCATATATTTAGACTAGTTATCACAGTTTGCTAACAAGGTGATTGTAAATCATTTAGTTGGTAAATAACTAGGGAAAAAGTTAAAAGGAATGAAACTCAGATAAATAGTTTCATTGTAAACTAGAGCACATTATTAGTTTAGAAATTTTGAAGAAATCACAATTATCTGTGAATTTTGAAGAATCTGTAAAAATTTTTATATTTTTATAAACAAATTTTAATCTACAAACACAAATAGTTTTAAAATTTTCTTTCCCTAAAAAATGAATGGGGATTACTTTGCACAAATCTATAGAAGCTACAACTCCTACTTTATGATTTAAAAGTAAAAATATGTTGATTAGAAGATTATCATCAATTTAAGTCAACTAACAGGAATAAAGATGTGCTTAAACACAGTTTTTTTCTTTAGCTGATTAACTTTAAACATATTAACAATTAAGAACTAATATTAATTTCAGAATAATTTTCTAAAATATTAATTTCATTACTAAAAAAAATCATGCATATTGTTGCTAAGAAGTGCAGCTATAAGGAATCAAGTTTTTCCTTATATACATGGCTTTATACAAATTTAATGCATGTAAATAGCTTTATTCCACCTCATTGAAGGGAAATTAAATTATAGTAATAAAATAATAGTAATAAAATAGTGAATAGTAATGAAATAATAATTTCTAGTAGGTTACTTAAAGGGAAAAAAAATTGAGATGATTTAGGTTCAAATTCGGTAGGTAAAAAAGTTTGAGACACAAAATAATCAGACACACTCATTTTTTTCAACATCAAAAATTATTTTTACTTCATTTCCATAATTGTTTAAAAAAATTTAGTTACACTACTGAATAACATTTATAAAAATGCAATTTATATCTTTCAAATTACAATCAAGGCTTTTTCAAAATTTTGAGAGAAAAATAACGCCTTGCTAGGGATTTTTTAAGACAATAGGAACCCTGCTAACAGTCATGTTAGGAATTAATAACAGTTATAAAGAAAAGCATATTTTTTCCAAAACAACATTTTATAAAAAGGAAACAGCCTTTAAACTGTCTTAAAATATTTAAAAATATTTGTAAAATAATAACTACACTCACACAGAATATGCAACATTATCAAATAAATATTAGTAAAAAAAGAAAACACTAAAGAAATAGTGTTGGAAATCTGTAAGTAAAATATAAGAGCAATACCTATCTTGTTCTTCAAAAAACTCAACAAGTTGAATGATATTTTGATGTCCTCTACAATGATGGAATGTTTCTATCTCCCGAAAAACACGTTCTCGTGGATGTCCAGGTTCTTTTATAATAATCTGTAAATATAATGAAATTTTATTAAAAAGGGTTTTCATTTAAAGTTAATATATATAAGCGAAGATAGCTTAATTTATTATCTGAAAGAGATTATTTAAAGTTCTCATCAATCAGAAAGGTTAGTTTGCAGTTAAAATATAATTATTTTTAAGTTTAGTTTTAAGATCCTTTTAATTTTATTCAGCGTAAAAGAGTTTTCATTTTTTTATGCACTATGCTATAACATACACATAACTAAATCGATACTGACGAAAATTCGATGCGAAAATAACTTAGATTTATCTAAACTTTTGCACGGGCGATTCTTAATAGTAAATTAAAAAGATTTTTATTAAGAGTAGTTAAAATTTTTGTGCAAAAATCAATTAAAATTTAAGTGGTTAAACTGTTTCTAAGAATTGTTTTTTAAAAGTGTATATGTAGTTGTTAAAGCCCAAAAGCTGCAAATACCGACTTTGCAGCTTTGAATGCAATATAAGTCAGCAGTCAACAGTTACTTTTGAGGTATATCTGAAAAATTTGTTAAGCATCTTCATTTTGAACTTACATCAGCAAATTATGGCATTTAACAATGGCAAATTTATAATTGATGAACATAAAGGAAAATTTTTTAGTTGATGTAAAAATTAATGCATGCTAAATGGTGACAATTGCCAGTGTAACTCAGACATAATGCTTGTTTGAATGGTGTTATTTAATGGGGAATGATGCCATTCATTATTTTCAGTTCCTTATTTACAAATTTTAAAAGAAAAAACAATAATTTGAATTTAGTTTATTACTTGTTCGACATGCTTGCCATCAATAGCTATGATGCGGCAATTAGTAACATTTTGCAAGACTTGTATACTATGCAAATGAAGATTCAGTATGCTTTGTGCTATGTATATGAATAGAGCTAAATAATCTGAACACATTGTACACAATAATAGCACAAAAATAACTCAATTTTAGTTTCAACATTGAGGAAAGTTCTTATTTATAGAGCTATAGTATATTCATTTTTGTGCCATTATTAATGCTTTATTCATAGGTAGGACTATTTTTATAAATTACTTTGGATGTTAATTTTGAAAAAATATGAATTTAATTTCCATTTCTTCAAAATATAATAACTGAACAAATAAAGAGAAAAAAAGAACTTACTTTGACTGCAAATTCAATCCCTGAGTTAATTTGAACACAAGTCCTCACAGATGCATATGCACCCTCCCCAAGGATCTCGTCTGTCATTCGATAAGAATCTTAAATAAATATTTAAGACACTTTATTAATTTCTTGTGAGAAAAAAACTGTATACCATAAATATACAAAGTAAAATTTAATTTTATAAAAGTTCAGGTAATATACATTATCTTATCATAAAATATTTAACAGTTAATCAATAATTTCAGCTTTATTATAGTTTGTTTTTGTCTCCAAGTTGGAAATTTCACGACTCATTTTAATCAAGAGTTACAGTTAAAAATCAAACAACTTTACAATCGACAAGACGCTTTTGGAAGAGCAGTTATCCTTTCTCACTATTTCTATACTACAAGCTCTTTCCTCTAATAAAGAAGTCAAGAGTTTCTGAGTGCTGAGATGCAAGACTTTGCTTGCGACTTTCCATAATAAAGTGTCTTCTGGTGAATTACCTCCCACTGTGGCATTGTTACAGGGAAAGAGAAGGCTGTCTACCTTACCAAGAAGGGTCTTAAGTTCCTCAGAAATCTTCATTAAACTTGCAATTCCATTCAGCTAAATTGGAAACAGCTAGGATTTTCAAGTGCCCCCACGAAACAACTTTGCATCTTTCGAGGGGAAAAACTTGGATTGCATTATTCTCTAAGCCACAACTTGCTCCTGACTTATCTCATACAGCTGCAGGGCACAAGCATCTCCATGCCCATTTTTATTTTTTATTTATTTTTCTCTAAATTGTTGACTTGCTTACAAGTACATGTTTTCTTTGTATGACTGGCCAGGAAATGAATAGCTTTGTATTTAGATGAGTGCCCTGTACTCTCTTCTTAAACTACTCAAGAAGAGAAATATTAGAGAGCCTGTAATCCAATGGCCTATTAGTCAAACGACTGGCATTTGATAATAAATCATTTCAGTTTTATTTCAATGAGTTTTTATGAGAGGGTACATTGGACAAATGTATAAAGCATAATGTGATTTCAGCAACAACAAAGAAATTGTCTCTGCTAAAGCCACAAGCAACAGCTACTATGAATATGAACCAACATTTTAAAACATTTTATGGAACCTAGCCATTAAACCTTTGAATAGATATAAACTCAGCACTTACTTTCTCACGAACAATAATCCAGAAGCCTAACCATGATATTTTTCATTTTACAGATGGAAATTAACAAATTTTAGAAAAATTGCCAAAAAAATTGGGGCAAAGTCTTCCAGGTTAACCAACTTAAACTAAACAGAAATTCCTTACAAAAATGTGCTACACATTTAATCATTTAATATTTTAAAATAAATGAATAAGATACATTGAAAGAGAGTATAAAAGGCTTGTATCATCTACCTGTAAAATTATCACAATAAGATCTGGTGCGTTTCTTTTTGTTGCGTCTTCGTGTATGCTGATTCTTAGGAATTTCTATTGGCTGGGGTGCTGATCGTAAAATTTCAGCAGAAGCTTGCACTTCACTCTGTATTTGCTCCAATATTTCATCTATCAAAAAGAAGAAAAAAAACAGTAAATAAATTTTTTAAAACTGAAAGTGAATGAATATTAGATGTGCTAAAAAGTCAAAGTGATAATATGCTTTTTAATGTAAATAAAATTTTAAAAATAAACAATTCTTGACGGCCATTTGTGGCAATGTCCAACACATTGCCACAAATGGTGGCAAAAAGACCTGCATTTTTTCTGTAATTTGATGTGCATGATATGACTATTAAGTGAATTAGGATTTAGTGCAGAAGTTTCATAAAAGTTTTGTTCTTATAAAAGATCTACACATAATTTAGAGAAAATATTTTTTAATCTGGTTTTGTAATCTTCTGAAAAATCACAAAAAGCAGTGCTTTGTTCTAAATTTTTGTAAAAAGAATCCTATTGTTTGGGAAAAATAAATTCATGATTTTCTGAATCTAAAACTATATAGAATTGCAACATTTCTACTAAGATTCTGTTTTTGTGAATAAATAAATAATATATATATATGAGAATAAGTTCCTGTTTTGGGGAGAAAATACAAAAACGACGTATTTCAAAAATTCGTAACTATTAAAATTATCAATTTAAGAGGATATCTACCTTGTATTTCCAAAAAGAATACTATTATGGATCCATTTTGAAATGAAAAATATTGTAAATGATACATTTTTAAGATAAAAAATTTTTATGAAAAAATATGTTTAAATGATAAAAAATAGATTTTAATGATAAAACAATTTGTTAAAAGTCCGTTTTTGAGGTGAAATATTTTGATAAAAAATTATGTAAAGGGTCATTCTCCTTAAATAATCCTACAAACATATGGAGAGAAAAAAATTGAAACAACGTTTGAAATTGTTGAAAAATTTTACAATTGTTGTTTGAAACTGTTGAAAATTGTGCAACGCCGTTTAAGAAGTCAGTCAAATCAATCAGCAACTCGAGCAAAAAAAAATATTTTTGCAACTACACAAGCTTTTCACACTTTTTTTTTTTTTTTTTTGCAACTACAAAATATATTTTAACATAAAAAGAACTTAGTTAACAGCTGAAATTTTTATAAAGAAACTGCACACCGAGAAAGATTTTAATAGATTAAATATCAAACAAACTTTTAGAATAGAAAACAATGAAATTTCGAGAATTCACCTAGATTCAACATTAAGAAGAGGAAATTATAACTTGTAAGCTGTTTTCTTTTCCTACAATTAACCAGAAAGCTTGAAATAATTTGAAATTAAATATAATAAGTTAATAAATAAATCACTGGTCCACAAACTAGTATCAGAAAACAAAAAAAAATCTTTTAAAATCTAAATTAATATACAATATGATTTAGATTAAAAATAAATATGAAGCTTAAAAAAACTAATAGCTTTCAAAAGTAAATAGTCGTTTATAGTTAATATGTTAATGGCGATTCAAAAAGTGTAAGCACATAAACCAAAGGAGGAAGGAAATTTAAGTTTAACTTCTTTTATTTTGAATATTTTTTAAACGTTAAAAAAGTAATAAAAATATTTACAAAAAATTACGCTTGGAAAAATTAAAAATTACATTTGAAGAAAGAAAAAGTTAGAAAAATTTCTTCCAACAACAATTTCAAATAAAAGTTTAAATCACAAAAAGAAAACATTAAAGATTTCTTAAGAATATTCTTCTTAAAATTTTATAAAATGAATTTAAATATAAATTTTATAATAAGCAAAATTATATCTTTCATTTGAACTTAATTCTAATATTATGACATAAAAAGTCCCTTAATAAAAGTTTAATCAAAAATCAAATAAAAAAAAGCAAATTTCTGACATAAACTTGGGAGAGGGGGATTTCTGATTTGCTTACTTTGCTGACAAAATGTTTGGCGGGTGGGTATAGATAACAATAGATATTTAACAAACGAAGCATAATAGATACTAATTTAAAGTAAAGTCTCTTAATTCATTCAATAAGTTCAGCAATAAAAATAAAATAAAAAACTGCAAACAGCCTTTATTTGCAACTATTATTTTATTTTCTGTCTGCGGAATCCCCTTGAAGTGTAAATCACTTAAAAAATAAATAAATAAAAAATTTATGCACACATCCAAATTCCTCTGTTGAATGAAACTGGATGTACTATTTAAAGAATTATCGTAAATCTTTTAGTACTAGCGTATACCAGTAGTAAATATTACTTGAGAAAATACAACCAACACGATATTAATTCTCTTAAAACTCAGCTATATTGAAAAATAAAAACAAATTGGAAAGAAAAAAAAATTATCTTAATATTCAAATCAAGAAAAACGTGAGCTATTCCCTTAAGTGTTGTAGCTAATATTTTTGAAAATAAAATAAAAATTAAATTCAGGGCCGAAAAACATGTCCGTTTTACTACGCAGAACCATTTTAAAAAATATATCTCGAACTAGTTTTAAAATGATTTATATTCATCGTTCAGGAAACCTGTTTCCAAAAGCTCGAATGATAATAATGTCTTCTGTGACCCGAGAAAGCAGACGCCAACTTGTAATAATATATCGCCAAAAAAGAAGAGCTCCGAGATTTGAAAACAATACATTTTGGATTAAATGCACCTGGAATTCCTTCCGCGTGCGTTTTAAGAATGACTCACGTGCTTTGGACGTTTAAAAGATCTCTTCAGCACCTCGTCAACTTATTACATGCGACTTACTATTTGAATATACAGTAGTAAATCCATAAAACTTTGGCGGAAACATAAATGAATAAATATTCTTCCAAACAAAAGTAGAATGTCGAAAACAGGACACTTTCAAATTAACATATTTGACGAAAATATTCGAATACATTTAAAAATGATTTCAAATAGTTTAAAAAGCAGTAACGGTATTATTAATTAGCATTAATTTTACGAAATCATATAAAATTTCTTTAGTTTTATTAGCATTTCGTCAACAGAATATCATTATTTAAATCAAAATGCCCACATTCTTAGTGGCACTATTCCTCCAGCTAAAAATAGTTTTCGTGTAATGCTGAACAAACAGTAGTGATACAAAACAAACTACAATTAACTAACAGTTCAATTTTCTTCCGTTCTAAAACATTTAATAAAATAAATCATATATATATATTTCAATAAAAGAATGTTATTACCATGAATTTTTTATACATCGATATTTAAATAAAATCGCAATACTTAAGCAGTTAAAAAATTAAATATTGTCCATACTTAAAAAAAAAATTAATACATTAAGATTTGATTATTAGTAATAAGTTTTATGCCATGAATTTAGGATGAGTTACAAATATTTATATTTATCATTTAGTTTCGACAGGTATCTTAAATTAAATGAATTACATACTGTATGAAACAAGTGTGAGCAAATATTTCCAAGGTGATATTTTAATAAAAAAGAAGAATATTTCTATAACTAAAACACGAATTCAAAGAAATAAAAACTTAAAAATTTATCTCTGTTTGAGAGAAAAAAATATTTAAATATTAATATTTTCCCCGCATCTTTCCAGATATTCAAATAATAAAAATTATTAGAAATTATTGATATTGTGTACACAAAAATTAGAGGATAAATAAAACAATAAAAAAATTAACCATAAATATATCTTTCCAAAAAAATCTATTTGGTTTAATAATAAATGGACATAATTTTAAAATAAACGTTTCAAATAAGTATGAAGTAAATTAATTACATACTTAAATGGCTTTTATCCTTCATCTTTTCTTTCTTTCTTTTCTTAAAATTGTAACACAACAATCGTCAAAATTCATCACTCAATGCATATAAAATATAAGAGACCAGTAAACTGTGTTCGATTGTTTACGTCGAAAACTGATTTTTGACATGGCGCGCGTAACCTGTCCAAATGTCAAAAACTGTTAGGAACCGTCAGAAACTGTTAAGTGAGGCAGCACATCTGCGCGTAAGCTATCTTAGCACAAAATGTAATATTTCAGAGCTAGGAAGGCACTTTTTGCACAATAAAACAACGTTTCATCGCTAATTTATCGGAATTGCGGTTGCTTATCACTAGAATCAAATTGCATGGTTAAATATTGCACTGAACCTCCAACAGATTGCATCATAATTTATTTAAAGATAAATTGGATGCTAATTGAAAAGTTCGAGTAATGGGAAAAGAAAGATGTTCAAATTGAGAAACACTTAAAAAAAAAAAATCTTAATAGAATTTTTATCTTAATCTTAGAAAAAAATCTATTTTAGTCAAGTAAACATTTTACACAGGGTTGTAAAAAACCTAACCGGGCTTTTTAGTGGTTTTATGGTTTTGTCAGGGTTTTATAGGGTTTCTTCATGATTTATTGAGTTTTTTCTTTTTCCATTATTATTATTCTCTAAATTTTTAGAATTATCATTCTCTACTGATAAATACCATTTAATTAATTTCTACTCATCTAGCTATATTTAAAAAAGAAAAAATATTTTGAAACGGTACATTACAAGACTCACAGATCTGAGAAAATAGTATTTAAAATATATTTTTATAAATAATTCCCCTTTCTCATTGAATTGTGAACTTAAAAATATATATAGTTTGTATCTTATTATAACAGTTTCAATTATATTGTGACGTAGTATCTCAACTTTTCGAGAAGGAAAAAGGTTGGGTTGAAAATTTTAAAGCAAAGTAGAATATTGAAGTTATGGAAATACGAATATTTCAATGTATCGAATTTGTATTTTATTTTATTATAAACTTAATATCTAGAGTTGATAATAGATTGCAATTATGAAAAAACCTAAGCGGATTTTTCACGATTATAAAATAAATGGCAATTATGAGAAAACTCGCTCGGATATTTTAAAGGGCTTTTTCAGGTAAGTTTTATGGGTTGAATAAAATCATAACTCAGATTCTATATAAAATGTAATAAAATGCTTCGTTTTCTCAATATATTATTTCCATAATCAATATAACAACTAATGAAATAATAAGCTAAAGTAAAAAACATTTCTGAAATAAATTTTTAATTATTCAATGTCTAAAAATATTCTATAATTTAG